CATTCTTCTCCTTGCTTGGATTTAACTCACTTCCCCTTTGTGCTTGGGGAATATATTTTACACGTAAGTTGCGGAGCAAAAACATATTTGAAGCGAAATGAAGCATAAGGTATCTGATAATAAATTGGGGCTTTAATGATTTTTTAGTCATGTTGTGACCTTAAAAAACTTATTGTGCTATCTCTTTAGATAATCTCTTGCTCATGACTTAGAGTATGCTTCTCAAGCACCATGAGTTTGCTTAGATGAAAATTCTATTAGTAAAGTGGCTAGCATTTGTGGACTTTAAAAAGTTAAATTCTTTTTTCCTTGTCTATTACGAAAGCTGATTAATCATTTGTGAGGATTTTCACCATAAATGTTATCAAGTGACCTTTGTGATTTCAATGTAGATTATAAAATAAACTATTAATTTATACTCAAATAACTTCATAAAACAATTGTTTTTGAATTATGCCATTCATTAGTTATCACTTTTTTTTTTAAGTTGAAATTATGCTGAAAGGTAGATCCTTAGCTTGAATTATGGTATCTTATTGACAGTGTAGTAGTGTCCACAAGAAGTGTTTCTAAGTCTGGAAACTATCCCTTAAACTTAACATGAATCAATGAATAAACTTTAGTATCCTTTAAACAGCAGGGAATTGGATTTCATGCCTAATATCATATTTGTAGCAAAATTTCAATTCGAATTAGGGCTGCAAACGAACCGAGCCGAGCCGAGTATGTGAGTGTTCATGTTTGTGTTCATTTAATATCAGGTTGTTCAAGTTTGGTTCATGTTTGTTCGAGCTTTATTGTTTGTGTTCATGTTTGATTCATTTAAAATAATGAGTGTTCATATTCGGTTCATGTTCAATTCATGTTCGTTCGTTTAGTGCTTATCGAGCTTTAAACAAACAAACATGAACGAGCTCTACTTTTAGATGTTCATTAACTTAACAAACGAGTTTTATAGAGCTTCCTACCTAACAAACGATTACATCGAGCATGTTCGCGAAAATATCTAACGAATTTTTTTTAATTATCAAACGAACACGTTCATTAACATATCTATAAACAAACACATTTATAATAAAAACAATTGTCTATGTAACAAAGGCAATGACTTATAAGCAAATTCCATCTTCTCATAATTTTCCTAATAGCAGCATTAATAAAGGATATTATTTATAAATAAATAGTCATATAAAGCTACAATTACTTAGACAATAAGTTAAGTAATATTTGATACCTGCAGCAATCACTGATCCAGTAACAACTAGAAACGGATTTTGGCCATTTTTCCGACGAAAATGTCCGTCGGAAAATGACGTTTTTCCTGTAGTGTTTTTTTTCGTGCTTTCTTAGTAAAAGAATTTTCTTGTTTGACATGTTATGTTATAGCTGTTAGACTTCAAGATGATCCAACACTAATTTGAACATCATGAACTTTCAATCCTAACTGCTTTGGTGAATTTTCAGACATACCTTTAAAAGAGAAGTCAACGATTATATTAAATATGAATCATATTTGCTAGTGCATATATTCAAGTTCAAAATCGAACACGAATCGAGCTTTTATCGAGCTTATTGTCGAGCTTGTTTGCGAACTTCAAATGATGTTGTTCACGAACATAAATGAGCCGAACGCATTAGTGTTCAAGCTTGTTTATTTAAGAATCGAGTATTTAAAATATTGTTCGAGTTTGTTTGTTTAGTTAATTAAACGATCACGAACGAGCTTTAAACGAACCGAACAACGAGCAGCTCGTCGAAAATTTGGTTCGCTTGCAGCCCTAATTCAAATATCATGTCTTTAGCAAGTTACTTGGTGAACAACGAACAAGTTGTAAATAAACTAGTTTGATTGTGTTAAAATTTAGTTCATTTAACTTCCAATCTTTTAAATGATGATTAAATTTGTTCAATTACTAACTTAAATGAGTATTAATTGAGTCGAGTATGCTTTATTTGTTGTGTGTATTTATACATTTTAAGCCCTACCTCTAATCGACATTGAAATCTCTTGATTTATGCCTTCTAAAGCAATACCTAAGAGCTCAGTTGCCCCTTTCTTATTAGCTAGTTGTCTTCTCCTTTTTCTTCATCACCACAACCACCACCCCAAAATAATATTAAGGTGATCTCCATTTCATCCATCAAGAAAGTTCAAGATTATTCACGAATAACCTCAGTTAAAAAGTGCAGCTCATCACAAGTTCCCTCCCTTTGCTGTCCTTCCTTGCTAAGTTTTGAGACAAGGAGATCAGATGATACAATGAAACTCCAAATCTTTTGAGGTTACGCCATTATGTGTCTCCACATATAAAGTATTTAATGCAAGATATTATGATGAAATCAACTTGTGCTAGGATTTTGATGGGTTTATTGCTGAACTTTTTTTAAATTTTTTTTTTTTTATTGCTGAACCTGTTCCTAACTATAGATGTTAGTTAGGGTATATAGTTTTTGTTATAGTCTTTGGATAGTTTCTGAAATAATATATAGGTAGGTTGACCTTTTAGATTTTCGAGTAAGGTAAATGAGACCTTTCAAGCTTCAACCAAAAAATGGCATTTTTTAAAGCTTGACCAAGGTAAAGAATTAGGATATGTTGAGAGACTTGCTGTTTAGAAGGAGATCAATGGAAATAATGTGAATTATGAATTAGTCTTAGATGATAGTTAGGATTGTTCCTTACATTGGTTAATGTCTTTCCTCGGTATCTCTATTTCTTCTTCTTATTATTTTACCATTTCTTCAGCTATTAAGTGATTTTTTTTTTTTTTTTTTTTTATTTTTTTTTCGATTTCTTTGGTGTTTAGGGATTTTTTTTTTTTTTTTTTTTTTGTCTTGGCTGCATTCAACTTGCTCTTCTCTGAACCTAGTCTCCATTAGTCATTTTCGACCTGACCTTTGAGTATGCAATTGGAGCAGGTAGGTCTTTGTCCTTGTTTTTTCTTATCCCCAAGCATCTCTTCATTGCCTTGTCATTTTGTTAAGGAAACTTCCACTTTTTTTTTTTTTGGGTACTCGGTTCTCTTGTTATGTTATTCGTATAGTAACATTCTTTTGGCCTGGGTCTTTAACAATTTTTGGATAATTTGCAACATAATATGTGGATAGGCAGGCTTTTCTAGGTTTCAATCTTGAATGTAGAGATGAGACGTGTTGAACTATAACCAAGACTTGAGTCCTTGAAGGCTCGGCCAAGGACAATATGATAGATTGAGAGGCTTGGTGAATGATTTGAAGTAGAGTAAGATAGAGAATGTAAACTAGAATAATAAGTACATACCTTAGATTAATTGATGGCTTTACTTGCTACCTATTCCTTTTTTTTTTTCTAGTTTCTTCATCCTTCTCCTTGCTTGGATTTACTTCCCTTCGCCTTTCTGTGCTTGGGAAATGTGTTTTAAGCTTAAGTTGCCGAGCCAAAACATATTTAAAATGAAATTCGAGCAGAAGATATCTGACAATGAATTGCATTTTAGTAGTTTTTTATTTATTTAGTTACTTGGAAAAACTTATTTTTCTCTCTTTGAGAATCTTTTACTCTTGATTTAGAGTAGATTTCTTAGCTATAAGTTTGCTTGGATAAATTTACTCTTAGTTAAGTGGCCATAAAGGCGAAATTTTTTAAATGATCAATTTTTCAAATAATTAAGCAGAGAAAACTTAATTATGGGGAAATTTAAAAAGGATAAAAAAATACAAAAATAATTTGCTTTCTGTGAGAAGACGCAAATTAAAATTTGGTTTTTAATTTGTGTTTTCTTACATAACAAAATTGACAAAATTTTATTTCGCTCATTTTGACAAATAAAATATGAAAAATTTATTCCAGCCTGAAAAAAAGGAAAATATATTTGTAAATGTTGATCTAAATTTAATTTAATTAAAGAATTTTTAAATGTGTTTCATCAATGATAATTAATTTCCAATGTTAATATTAATTCATTTAGAATAAAATTAAACTAAATGTTAAGTATAATTAACAATTAATTTATTTTGTAGATATATTTATATATTAAAAAGTTATTCTATTTTATTTTGTTATTAAAATTTTTTTTTTTGGGAAGGAGCTTGAGCTGCACGGAGCTCGGAGCATGTGAACAGGATGTCAGATCCTTGGGCGGAGCAATGTTAAGGAGCTTGTTATGGAGTGGCTGAGTAATCCATCAAATGATCCTTGCCTTTCCATCAAGGATAAGGAGCACGTGAACAGGATCCGGGCTTTGAAGGGCTCGAGGAGAAGTTTTGAGAAGCCCAAAGTGCCATTTTGAGAAGACATTTTTTTATTTTTTTTAAATTAAACGGGTTTACGGGTTGACCCGAAAACCCGCCGGGTCAACCCGACCCGACCCGTTTGATTAAACGGGTCAAATCTGTGAACCCAAACCCGACCCGTTTATCAAACGGGTCGGGTCCAACCCGGATTTTCCGGGTCGGGTCCGGGTCGGGTTGTCGTGTCGTGTCAAATATTGACACCCCTACTGCCTGCCATAAATTTGTTCTTAGAATTCCAAAGTTAAAATTTGTTTCTTTATCTGTTGCATAAGTGATTACTTATTTATGAATATTTTCATCATAAATGTTATGAAGTGCCGTTTATGATTTCCACGTGAATTATAAAGCAAACTATTAATTTGTACTCAAATAATTTCCAGGAAACAAATATTTTGAAATATATCATTCATTATTTTTTTTTAATTTGTTTTTATAATTGAATTTATGCTGAAAAGTAGATCCTTAGCTTGAATTATGATATCATATGGACACAGTGTAGCAGTATCCACAAGATGTTTTTGCAGTCTATCAACTATTCTTTAATCAACTCTTCTTGTTAATTGGATCAAAAAAGAAAAAAAAAAGTTTTGTTTTTTCAGATTTGGATGGCAAAAACTTCATTACATTGGTTTCCCCTGATGATGCCTAGAGCATTATATTTTGGTAATCCTTATGTGCCGCTGTAACAAGTTTCTTCTACCTAACCATCTCCATGTCCTTCTGTCTAGCTATTGGATTCAGAGAAAGCACAAGCATCCTCTTCTGGCAATGGCGGCATCTCGAAGAGGGCTGTTATCTCAAGCAGCCGCCAAAGTTCAGACAAGCCAGGCAGACTGGTCTCAGGCGGCGGCGGCGGCGGCGGCAGCATTCACCCCGCCATAAAACAGATTAGTTTCAATCAACCCGCCGCCGAATCCAGGTCCTCATCTCTCTCCCGAACTGCAATCGCAAGAACTTCCCGAGACGAAAATCCAGTCAGAAGCTTTGAGCTCCTCTCCATCAACGCTGATAAAAGGAAATAACAACCAGTGGCTTTCCTTCAGAACCAGTAAATCTGTAGTGATGTCTTCTTTGCAGTGAAACTGGAGATGGTAAATATGAAAATGAACAAAAAGATATTTAGCTTTCAGCATCCATTAGATGAACTGTAGGCCTTGCATTATTATTTCCCCTCCCAAGCTTTGCATAGTCGGGAACTTTGGATGAAAGGATCCTATTCTGCAACAGATTGATTCGGGAGGGAGAGCAAATGGCCTCTGCTGTTGGGCGAATTATTGCATCCAGTCACATCCGGACAACCAATCCGGACACGCCAAATCACCCAAATACATCGGGACCCGGTGTATTTTGCTGATGTGGCGTGTCTGGATTGGTGTCCAGACGAATCCGGACACCGGACGCAATAATTTGCCCTGGTATTGTAATTGTTTGATGATAAATAAAGTATTAAACATTTTGAGCTTTGAGATTCTCTATTATGTTATTCGGATTATTCCCATTTGTTCTTTGGATGTTGGATTGGATCACTATATTGACACGTGTTTGACCGATATGAGAAAAATGTGGCTGAAATAAATGAAATTTGTATGGTGAATTTTTTTTTTTTGAAAATTATTAATTTGAGTTGAGTCATATAATTTAGTACTTATTGCTTATCATTATCTAAAAAATAAAATTTATTAAAAATTTTGGCAATTTCTGATGCGGTTGAAATGGCACGAATATGATGGTTAATTTAGGCTTTTATAGGTGTTAAAATGGGTTAATGGGTTGAATTCGGATCTGATCTAAAATTGATTCGATTTAAATCCATTTGATTCAATTCTGACTTTTTTATTATACTTTTTTTAATAAATTATCAATTATGAGTTTAGGCTAATTCTTTCGAAGGAAAAAGAGCATACAAACCAGGCATTTTTAGGTTAAAATTGTGTATATATGTTGGAATTTTGGATTTGAATTAGATTTATTATTTATTAAATGGTTCAATTTGAGCCTAAACTTTTTAAACCGGTTGGATTGATAATTTTAGCTTTTTTTTTATTTAATGGTTTTATTTTCTTATTTTAGAAGGTAAAATATTAGCTAATTTAGTAAAAGAAAAATAAAATTTCTTAAAACTTTGGGAACAAGTTTTCTTTGTATCAATGCTTCTCATTTGTTTAATGAATTGTAAGATATGAATGTTAAAAGTATTTTAATATTTATAATAAAACTTATTATTTGGCATGACAATTGTATTATAAGACTTTGATTTTTTTTCTATTATGTAATCTAATTAATTTTGAAGAAAGAGGGAAAGAGACTGTTTTATTTAAGGATATTTATTATTCTCCATTCTATTAATTTTTGATAGTATGATTTTTAAATGCATGATTAAAATAATTAATTTTAATTTTAATAATATTTGGTTATTTGAAAATGGATTTTTTTCATTGCATGTGAAGATAATTATGGCGTGGAGAGATTTAATTTTCTTTTGGGATGGTATTTTTACTGTTATTTTTTACTAAAATTTAACTTTAAGAAGCATTAATAAAATTATTCCAAATGAAATCTTAGGCATTGTTTGGGTGGCTTGCTTAATGCTTTCTAACAATAAAGAACAATTTTGGAGACCTTATTCAAGAGGAAATCCCTTCAAATGATAGAATTTAGCTTATGTTATCATAGCATATCTAACCCATGGCTTCACCAACTCCAATCATAGAAGATTAAGGGTGCATTTGGGGGAACTTTTTCTCTGATGTACATTAGGAAATGTAATCTGAGTGGTGGTTTGGGATTATGGGATCGTGCTTCGTTCTTAAAATTTTTGCATCCCACAGTTGCTTTTCCAGTATAAAGGAAGCTTCTCGTGTTCTCTTGACGTAAATGCCCTTACAATCATCTGTGAAATAGCCCATTGTCTTCTTCTTCCTTGCCAAGTTCGATAGTATTAGCCCACTTCATCCATTTCTTCATTCTCTGTGGCCCATCTCACCACGTTCGAGAATATATCAAAGTCTCAATTTTGTACTAGATTGAAAAAGCTGCTCAATATTTCTCCAACTCCCACTTGCAAGAATCCCTATTGCCATGAAACTAATCATTTAACCTACATACGCCGTCATCATTCTCGAGACGATCCAGAATTCAATATTTGTGATATTAATCAATCATACATACATATCTCAAGAAGCATGTGTTCCGAATTCTGTAATCATTGATAGATAAAGATGAAGATGTAACGAATAATGTGTTAAAAGATGGCAAAACTGCTAAGGTGATGATCCATTTACGAGAGTAAATCACAAGTGCATTGATGGATGAGATGAATTAGGAGTATGAAATATTCATGTGATTGGCAGTATGTTCAGTGATATTGAATACTCAAGTTGAACTACTGGTTTTACATTACAGCTTTTTATTTTGTTATGAAAGATTCATTATAAATTTCATTATTAGATTTAGTAATTCCTGAAAGGCAGCCCCTAAATAGTTTTGTTACTTTTTATTGATTCAAATTTGTTTGGTTATCCTGAGTGAAATGATTTTATGAAGATTGTTGTTGGAAATACTTATAGTTGGAGAAATAATCATGTCAGATTAAGAGTTTAATTGTAATTTAGAGAAATATTAATAATTTATTCATGATATGTAATTGCATACTTATTCAGTTTTTTTAATTAAATCTTAAAAATTTATCAGAGTTATATTATTATTAGAAAAAGTATATTTATTATGAAGTAATAGCATATATTATATTTTTTTAGATTATTTTAAAGTATGATAGTACATTGTAAAAAAAATACTATGATATTTAAAAGTCATAAAATATTTCCTAAAGTGGATACAATTTTGATTTAGAATTATTAATTTGTTATCATATAATTTTTTAAAAATTTTGATATTTAAATAATTTCCTTTTATCTCGATATATATCTATTCCTATACAGCTGCAGTACAACAACTCGACAGTTATACTTATCAAACAAAATATATATTGCGTTATATGTACAGTAACTTCAGAAATCAGCTTTCTATACAACAACATTACAACCTGCTTTATCGACAACTACAGAAGTCACAAATGCACCCTAAGACCTTGTTTAAAACGACTTTCTTATTGCTTTAAGAAGCAATAAGAAAGCCAACCCAAACGAAGCCTAAGGCTTCAATTAGAAAAACTCTCTTTTTTTTGAGGTCACAACCATAATTTTTTTTTGTCATTGCTTTTTTGTTACTTTAAGAAAAAAATTATACTCGAAAATTATTTTTTAAAATAGCTTTAAAATATTAATTTCTCTATAGTCATTTTACAAAATAATAAAAAATCTATCCCAAACAAAATCTAAGAAGCTAAAAAAGAGAGATTATTTCATCTATTAATTAAGGCAAGAAATGACACATGTTGTTAACTATTTAAAACACATGCTTCTATCTACAGCTCCCATGCGGAGGAACAATTATTACGTCCTCTGATCGGACGTAAAGCTACGTTCGGCCGCCAATAACATGTCGCCACGTGCTCTTACTCTTTACCGCGCGGCCCGACGACTTGACCCGGAGCGGAACCCGGGAATTTACCGAACGGCCCGACGACTTGACCCGGACCGGAACCCGGGAATGCTATGTTCGAGTATTGCGAGGTATTACTCGGTATTTGCTTGGTATTGCTATGTATTGCTTGGCAATAATGAAAAATACCACTATGTGAAGACCAATACCGAGCAATACCGAGTTGTACCGAGTTTTCTAGAAAAACTCGGTACAACTCGGTATTGCTCGTTAATACTCGGTATTTGCTTGATATTGCTCGGTATTTGCTCGGTATTGGTTATTGCCGAGCAAAATTGACCAATACCTAGCAATAATGAGCAATACCGAGCAATCTTGGGTCCGTTCCGGGTCGGGTTGTTTGCTCGGTATTACTCGGTATTGCTCGGTATTTGCTAGGTATTGCTTTGCAAAAATGAGAAATACCGCTCTGTGAAGACCAATACCATGCAAATACCGAGTTGTACCGAGTTTTTTTACAACTCGCTACAACTTAGTATTTGCTCAGGATTTGCTCGGTATTGCTAGGGATTTGCTCGCTATTGCTAGGATTTGCTCGGTTTTGCTAGAAAAAACTCTGTACAACTCGATATTTGCTCGGTATTACTCGGTATTGCTCGGTATTTCCTCGGTATTTGATAGGTATTGCTTTGCAAAAATGAGAAATACCGCTCTATGAAGATCAATACCATGCAAATACCGAGTTTTTTTACAACTCGGTACAACTCATTATTTACTCAGGATTTGCTCGGTATTGCTAGGGATTTGCTAAAAAAAAACTCGGTACAGCTCGGTATTTGCTCGGTATTGCTGGGTATTTGCTCGGTATTGTTAGGTATTTGCTCGGTATTGCTCGGTATTGGTTATTGCCGAGCAATATCGACCAATACCTAGCAATACCGAGCAATCTTGGGTCCGTTCTGGGTCGGGTTGTCGGGGTGCGCGGTAAATAATAAAAACGCGTGGCGCGATTCTACGAACGGCCGAGCGTAGAGTTGCGTACATTCACCGGACCAAATATAAGTTCCATGAGGAGAGGCCTCATGCGAGATCATAGCAGTTCCCCTCACCGCCTCCATCATCTCCTCTGAACCGCTCCTCCCCGCGCTTCCCGCAACCACCACCCAAACTAATGGCTGCCAAACAAAAAAAAAAAAAAACCCATGGTAAGGTTCACCTAAGGATGAATATTATACATTTAAAGTATTATTTAAAACCTTAAAAAAAAAAAAAAAAAACCTAAACTAATCACCAACCATTTAAAAATAATTAACAAATTAAAAAAAAGGAAACTTGGCTTAAAAAAGTTAAAAGTCTTTAAAGAAAAAAAAAGAAGAATAATCAATCTTCTGAAACCGAAAGAAGCAGGCTCCCTCCTTTCTGGATATTGCTGTTTCCAGGCGGGGCTTCGGCGGCCTCTGTAGCATTGTTATCTTTTGATAGCATCTTTTGTTGCCGCCTCCCATCTCCCAAAATCGTTTCTGTAAGGTTCCGAATCATTTGAATCACATAAATTTGATCTTGAGATTATGGTAATGAGGAGGCGCCAGATCGAGAGGAGAATCGGTTGGTGACTTTCATGTGAGTTTCTTTCAATCTTTCTTCATTAGATCTTCAGATCAGGATAAATTTCTTTGATGCAGTTGTTTTGCCATTAAAATTTTCATCAGATTTCTTTTTTTTTTTTTTTCTTTGATTTTGATACTGTTATATCTCTTTACGTACATATCTTCTTTGGATATAACTCATAAAGGGTTGCCCGTTTTTTTTTTTTTTTACATAAACTTTTATGAGAGTTTCGTGAAGTTTTTAATAGTTTTTCTTCTTCCAGTATAAATTTTTATAACGGAATTTCTTTTTTCAAAAGAATTTCTTCTATTGAAAGTAAGAAATAGAATCCATCAGATTCAAATCGTTAAGTTTTACTTAAAAAAATATTGGATGAGGATATCCTAATGCAAAATGGATTTTAAAATTTTAAATTTTATTTTGAGATTATTACAATTCAAGATTTGAGAAAAAAAATTATGTTAGAATATTCATCATTATATAAATTGTATTAAGAAGAGCTTAAAAATTATTAAATTTGTTTTAAGATAAGTGATGTATATAAAGAATTTGTATTGTGCTAATCTTGAAATAAATCTAAAATTTTTTAAGCTCAACTTATTTGTATGAATATTCTAAATTTATTTCTCGTATAAATCAAAGCTGCTCTTAAAAAGAACTACGTTGAAAAAAAAGATTAAATATTTGCATGCAGATTCTATTGTATTATGTTACTGTTTCTGAAATTAAATATGCTGAATTTCTTCTACTTCAGATACATTTGAGGTGGAGCTGAGAGGAGCATCATATAATCTGCTTTGCTGATGATGAACAATAAGATGAAAGGCCTGTTAAAGGGCCTGAGATACATTTCTCAAATATTTGGTAATTTCATGCTGTATTTTCATCTTTTTCTTCATCAGCTATTTTGATTTCATTTCTGATTTTCTTATCAAAAACCGACCTACGTATGGAGTCCGGATGTAACTTTTCGCCCGGATTCCATTCAAATAAAGACACATGTATTTTCTCTCTCTTGTACACACCATAAGTACAAGAGAGAAAAAATCCGCGTGTCTTCATATGATGGAGTTCGGACGATGGCCGGACTCCGCTCATAAAAATTTTCTCTGAAATCTTTTGACTGTACAGATGAAGAAGAGGAGAAAGAGATGCAGATTGGCTACCCTACAGATGTCAAACATTTGGCTCACTTTGGATGCGATGGACCTTCTGCAAATGCACCGAGCTGGGTAATTATCTGAATTATTCAATCTGCAATTTCTGAATTAACTTTTCTACCTAAATCATTCTTCATCATGTAATTAGGATTCATGCTGCTATGTTTAAATAATCATTGAGATTACTGATAGTGATCTACAACTTAAAAACTAAAATGATATAATTTTATCATCTTTTATGAAGATTTTATTGCTTATCAAATTTGTTAGAAGGAGAATGCTGGCAAACTTCTCGTTAAGATTTTGTTTGGAACAATTTTTGGCCATTGTTTCTTCACTGTTTTCAAGAATTTGTGTAAATAAAGTTAGTTTAGAAAACAGTAAAAAAGTTGTCTCGAATGAAGCCTAAGAATATTACATTTTAGGGGTGCCAAAACGGATTAACAGGTTAGGTTTGCGTCCAATCCAAAAATTTGAATCCACTCAGCTTGAACCATACTCATTTAATAAATGAGTAAAAAGACCTATTCAAACCCAATCCACTATCAACCTATAAAAAGAAAAAAAAAGACTATAACTACAAGTACAAAATTTTAAGGAAAAAAAATATAATAAATGGGTTGTGCTCGGGTCAAAAATATGACTCATTTAATAAACATGTAGAAAAAATAACCAAAACTCAACCTGGTTATTCAGATGGGTCAACCTGAACCTGAATTTTATCTATTTAGAGGTGTTAATTTTGTTTATCATTTTTTACTATGCTTTATTTGATCCAGATGGGAGAGTATCAATTGACGCCAGCCAACAATGGGAAAGGCCTAGAGGCACCCACTCAAGGTTCTATTTGTGCGCTTTTTTATACCTACAACCTTCTTGCTAAAAGAAATACAAAATTTTTAATAAATAATTTAGCTTCATTATCACAAATAATACTTAAATACTCTCGTTCTTAGATCCCAAGTTCTGAATGAGAAAAATTAAGAGTTGCATCAAATAGTTGACAATCAACATAAAACTTATCGATCAATCATGACATGAATCATTTAATATATTTTAAATTTAAATGGAAGTTTGACTCTTAATAGGTAAAAATTATTTTGTGCGAATGCCAAACGCCGTCTGGAAATCAATTAGAATATGCCACGTCACCCCTGTACTCAGTACCGTAGCTCGATACTGCTCGGTATCGCAGCTCGATACCACTGACGTGGCACATGCTAGCTGGTCTTTAGACGACGTTCTATGTCCGACCTCCGCACAAAATAATTTCTCCTTAGTATATAGGACACAATAGAGAAAAAGAACACCATGTAGTGAGATAGGAATTTAACCCTTTTGAATTATGGAGGACTTTAATTTTAAATGAAAATTTTATTTTTAAGACAATTATAATTTTCATACTTGTGAAACATTTTTATAAATTATAACTACGACGTTAGAATAGGAAAATTTTTAAGTCAGAATATTTTGATACAATTTAAATTTAAAATAAATATTTTAACTTAAGATAAGCATAATAAATAAATAAATAAATAAAATTTATGTTAATTAATCTTAAATAAAATTATTATTTTATAATTTTCATAAAAATATTTTGAGCAAATTTGCGATTTGACGAATATCATTCCACAGAAATGCGCGAGTTATCGATAAACCCCGCAAGATCTCAGAGTGCAGAACCCGTTCCACAGTCGCCGGTGAGGAGGCCGCATCGGCGGCGCTCTTCCGCACCCGACTCTCCATTTGGCACAGACTCCCTTTCCAGTCGCGAAAAGGATTCCTCTAACCGCGAGAACCGCCACTCCCGTCGTCAACAATCCGCAGGCTCGTCCCCCGCTGCCGCCGACTACTCGGCCAAGGAGCCTTCAGATGGAAGCTTCCGCCGCAGCCGCCGTCGCTACAAGGTATCCACCACCGGATCCGAGTCACCGGCACGGGATTCCCCCTCCGTTCCGAAGCAATCCCGCCGACGCAAATCGAAGGGGGAGACTGGCTCCGCCGCATCCGTAGCCGTCGGGATTCCTTAATGTGGAGAAACATTGATTTCTTCTTTGTTCAAAAAGGTTAGCGGTGTGAAACTTGTAATTGATTTTTAAAGGCATTCTAGAATACCCCGTATTGTCTTTTTTTTTTTTTTAAGTTTTAAATTGCATTGTAATTGTTGGAATCTTTGAATGAAATTGGAATTAAGAGTAAGATCATGGGCTTTGTTGAGGGGATTTTGATGGCTGTTGTTTATTTACTTGAATTACAAATTGGATAAGAGAGAAGTTCATTGCTCTGTTTGACTGTTTGGTTCGAGGGAATTGAAAGAGATTTAAGGGATGTTTCTGATGATGTATTTTGAGTGCAGGGTAAAAAGAATGCAGTGTTTTAAATTTTTAAACATTTGATTAAGAGAAAAATAATAACATTTTTTATGTTGTTCAACTTAAACCCTAAATCCTAGGTGTGGTTCTCACCTAGGATAACCTATAAAGAAAATACAATAAACACTCATTCATTCCACGCAGACAGAGAAGCGTACTGCAGTCAATCTCTCACTTCTTCTAGGGGAATCGTACCCCACTCGATTATGGGTAAGGATGCTGACTTCAACCTTTTCTTTAGAAAAAAAACTATAAACAAAAAGAAAACAAGAAGTACAGTATAATAAAATGCAATTGAGAGAATTCTTATATGCAGATCTGTAGGAGCATGAGAAATTCAAGAACGCAGAATCAAATGTTGAAGATTGTTTGAATTATTTAGCAAGCTTTTATTTTTCTTCTCTGTTTTCTCTCTCATAAAGACTATGAAATCATGTTTTAGGAGAGGTGTCTTGGGGGTTAGGGTTAGAGAAAATTTTTCTTAAGATTTTTCAATAGTTGCATTAACCTTTTCCCGGCTTATATATTTATTATACTGACTTGTAAATTCAAACTAAGGTTTTCAATATGTTAATATTTTAAAATAATGCTTAAATGTCTGAATTTAATATGTCAAATCACTTAATTAATTTTTATCAATAATTAATCCTCCTAATGGGCTATTTATGCTTAATTAAAATTGTTGATAGATAAGTTTGTAGGTACTGATAAACTTAACGGAGACCTGTAAAGTTGTTGGTGACTATTTAGAGTTTGCAAATGTCTGTTAATAATTAAAATTTTCGACAAAAAGTCTTGTTTTATAGCAGAGTGCACATAAGAGTTTGCAAGAACCTGTTACGGGTTTACAAACACCCACATGCGTTACGGAGATCCTATATTCATGGGCAGACTAGAATTTTTTGTTATAACAAAGCACCTATGATGCACCGACACTTCTCCTCAAAGAGGCGTGCAGTGTTCGACACCGTATCCGACACGACACTCGTCCGACAAGTGTCAGACAAGCCGAAAACGTGTCCGATTAAAAAATATCCATGTCTTATATTCTCAATAACTGTCGTGTCCCTGCCGTGTCGTATCCGTGTTGCCGTGTTCATGTCTGTGCATCATAGCAAAGCACATATAAGACTTAGTGGTGACCCGTTATCCATTTATGAAAACCCATAAATCATTATGGATGCTAGTGAATAGAGTTAATTCTCATAACATTTCTAGTGATGGTTTTTCATTAAATTTTTTTTTTTTTTCATTTGTGCTAGGAGTTTATTTAGGTTGATGAAGTTAAGGTTGTTTAGGAGTTTTTCGCTGGTATGGCTCTTCCTAAATACTTCACATCTACTTATATTATTCTTATTCGTATGAACTATAGTACTTGAAGATGGCATGATTTTAGGCCCATTATTAGTCTTTGTTCAGCTTTCTATAAAATTATTTCTAAAATTTTTGTTGAGAAATTGGCAAATTATTAATAGTGATTTTATTTTTGGTAGAAATTTTACTAGTAATGTCTTACTAACTCAAGATTTGGTGAGTAAGTTGAATTTGTATAAACTTCTCAAAAGCATATTATAAACTTCAATATCAATTTATGCATTAAGTCTTAAAAAAGTTTGGATTTTCAAAAGATTTCTTAAAACTCGTTACTTCTAGCATTGAGGATTGTTGGTTTTCTATTCTTTATTAAAGGGGTTAGTTTTGTTTTCTTCAAATCCTCAAGAAGATTGAAATAAGGAGATCTTCTTTCGCCATTAGTTTTCTTTATTACAATGTGTTGGATCCAATTGTGTACATGGATGGCACTTGACTTTACTAGAAGGCCTAATTGTTAAGCTAGTGAACTGGAATTTCTGTGGGAATGGATTGTATTAATAAACTGAAGAAAAAGAGTGAATCTACTTAAAACTTAAGAGAATTATGAGTTTCAAATCAGCATGGAATCCACTAGAATCAGCCAAAATTCTCAAATTGCTTCTCATCACTCCTTATATACAGGCTTCTAAAGGTTACATAAATGGCTACACCAACAAAAGTGAAAACGTATAATGCTATACTTGTGATACATGTTGCAACTTGATTCGCTTAGGGAGAATGAGGGCTGCAATATCATGATGAGTTGTCTCTGGGCGAGCTCAATAGTATAGAGAGTTCTATGATATCGAGTTGGCCGAGTTTGCGAGTGTATGCCTAGTAGGATGAGTTTGGTAACTGAGTGTTTACTTGGGATGATGGGCGACCGATACTAAGCCTTGCGCTGCCTCAACAAGAACAATGATTGAGTTGAAGTGGTTGAAAAGGCAAAGCTCAGTGGTTGATCTAGATAGGTGAGTTGATGGGTCCTCGAGGTTGGTGCCTTCCTATAATTGAACTTGGTGAGCTTGCATGTGAGCGATCGCTTTGGAAGAGAGCTAGTGATTGAGATTGTGGATCAAATTCATGGTGAGTGCAAAGCTGTTAACTTGATGAGGAATTCTTGATTTGCCTCGTGGAAAGGGAGAGTAGCGTCTGTTGATCATATTGGGTGAGTTTTCTTGCGGGTTGTGGGTTTCAGGCGAGTAGCACCTCTTTGGACCATTTGGCGAGTTCCAACTATGGACCCCTCTTAAGGGCGGCTTCTTCTGTCATAACCCACTAGAACTACCTACTAAATACCTATGAAGGCATATGCAAGTATACACAATTGATTTTGTTTCCAGAGGTTTGATCAAGTTATTTTCCTCAAACTCTAAGATGAGATGTAGAAACAAAGGTTCCTAGTATATTTCCACATTTGCTTTATAGATGATTTTTTTGTTTATAAATGATAACGAGGATGGAGTGGAGAATTTTCTGGAGCATTATAAAGAACTTTCTGTCTTTATGATTAATAAAATATAAATGCAATATTATGCCTTCTAAAAATATGTCTTTAACAAGGAAGTTAATGGTGATAGAATTTTTTTGTTTCTCTATTCAAAAGCTTCTGTCTGTCTATTTAAGGGTGCCTCTTTTCAATCAAAGTAAGATTTTTTTTTTTAACTTATTTCAGAAACTTTTCTGCAATTATTTTGGGTTGCTATTCTAAGTTTCTTTCTTTTGGGGGGCGGACTAACACTTTTCAGAAGTGTTAAACTATTTGTCTATTTATCTCTTGTAAGCTCTCTTTTCCCCTACCACTATTATGAATAAATTGGAGAAGGTTTTTAGCAGGTTTTTATGGGGAAGTTCTAAAAATTGCATGAAAACTCATTTGTGTTCTTAGAAAGATATTTGTTTTCCTTTTGATGGAGGGTTCGGTTTTAGAAGCATTCATGATTGGGTCAAAAGCATTTTCCTTTAACTTTGGTGGCACTTTATGCGTTGAGTTTCTTTTCTCCAAAATTTTCTCTTACCATCGTATTATAGCTCCTATGAAGAGGGAGATCTCTTTCATTTGGAAGAGAACGTGTAACATTAGAAGGGAAGCTGAAAATTTTCATTTGCTGGGTATTGGTGCTGAGAATTTGTCTTTTTGGTTTGATGACTAGCTTGGAATTGGTTCCCTGGCTTCTATTTTTCCGAATGCCGTTCATTCCAAGCTTGTAGTTGTTGATTTTTTGTTGGAGTATGGAAGGTGGATTTGTTGGAACATTTTGCTGAATGATGATGTTTTTCAAGTCATTAAAGATAATTCATATTGTTGTTACTTGCAAGTATCAAATTCTATTTAAAGCGTTCAAAAATTTTGAATCCAATAGTCCGGTGGTTTGGAATTTTATAAGAATTAAGAGAGATTCTTCAGTTTGATTTGCTTTGGCACAAAATCATCACTTTATCGATTTACATTTTCTGTTGGAGATTGCTAAGAAAGTATGTCTATGGTCTATGGATAACAAAATTCACCAATTTGGATTTCTTTGGCTTTCAAAATATGTTTGTTATCTAATACTGAATCCTTTGATCACTATGTATTTTTGAATGGTGCTGAGATTAGGGCCTCGTTTGGGACGGCTTTCTTACTGCTTCTTAAAGTAGTGTTCTAGTACAAAAAATTTAATTTTTGTACTAAAACGTTGTTTTAAGAAGCAGTAAACAAGTCATCTCAAATGAAACCTAGGAAGGCTTGGAAGTGTTTTTATGATATCTTTCATCTGACTGCCTAATTTTCAGAATGTTGCTGAAATGTTCAGCATGCGGGAAAATTCCAATATCCATTGCAAGTCTGGCTACATCAGAATTCTTATAACGTTATACATTTGGTCGTTACTTGGCTTGAAAGCAGTAAATGTTGAAACCAAACTTCTAAGTTTAATGATTGAATGATCATTTTGATAGTAGAAGCTGATTTGAAATTGTTTGGCACAGCAGATGTACTTCTCAAAATATCCTACAAGGTGAAGAGACTGATTTTAATCCTTTTAGTTGAACTTAAATAAAATAAGCTTCCATATTTCTGGAGCCTATTTATAGGACTAAACCAACTGTGGGTGAGGTTAGGCTAAGGGAGCTATTCAAGTTATCGTGGAAGTGGAGAAGGGATTATTAGAAATGATTTGGGCATGGTGATTCTTACTTTCTCTTTACATTTAGGCCAATGTGTGTTTTTCAAGCTAAAATAAAGGATCTATTTGGGACAACTTTCTGACTACTTTTTTCTGCTTTTTCACTATTTCTTAAAAAACTATGTGATGGAAAGCTGC